CAGGGTGCACTGGATGGGGCTGGGCCGGGGGGCCAGGGGCTGAGGGTACCGTCCTCCTCTGCAGCCATGCAGCCCAGAATCAGGCACTGAATATCCCTGAGACTTGCTCTCCTCATCTGAGAAATGGGTCTAATGATGACAGTGCCCCCAGGGAGAATGAGCCATTGCACAAAGAGCGCTGGAGGCTGCAGGTGATGTAATCTCTTTGGACACCTGTCCAGCAATATATAGATCACAAGGCATTTCACATCCATCTTGTCTTTCCAACAGCCTCACGAGATGGGGATGATGATAAAACGGCCAAACTTATGGAGGTGATAAGGGTGTACCTTTGCTGTTCAGAAGCATTTGTGTGAAGAGAACGTATTATACTGGACCACAGACAGTAAGACCTGGCTGTGGGCAGGGAGCATTTTGTTATAAGCACTTCTATTGAGCTGGGTTCTGCCCGAGAAAGGCCAAGGCCAAAACAGCAGGGATTCTAGCATCCTGTATTCAAATCCCAGCTTTGCAGCTCGCTACCTGTGTGACCTTGAGCACATTTGTAAATCTCTCTCTGCCTCAGTGTCCTCATCTGTGAAATGGGGATGATACCGACGGTACCTAATCCATAGGGTGGTTGCATGGATTCCATGAGTTAACGTGTGGAAGAGGCCCACAGCAAATGTGAACTTTTGGAGCTCAGGGCCCAGGTCTGAGAATGCAATGACCCTGCTCTCTGCCTGACATTTGCTGAACTGTTCTGCCTTCAAGGTTTCCCTCTGAGGCATACAAGTCTGGCTGCTGGGGCCATGTGAGTCACAGGGCAGCACACTTAGGACCAAGCAAACCTCCAGAGCCACCCATCTCTTCCTTCTTGGGGCTCAGGAAACTCTCTCTTTCCAACACTCACGCCAGGTCACCTACTCAGAGGGCAGCTGGGTTAACCGTTTTCCCCTGAAGCTGTCTCAAAGACAGGACGGCAAAGTTCAGGCAAGCTTCAGAGACTGTCTTTAAAATTCCAGACGGCATGACTTCAAGATCAATTAAATGTACCTTTGAATCCCTTCAACCTTCCTTGCCTGCAAACTGAGATACGGGCCGAGCTGAAGCGGCCCCAGCCCAGGGGCACGCGCCACCCACGACATTAGCCATCACACAGCAGCTAGAGCAGACAGGAGCCTTAGAGCGACTTCCATGTAGGCCCCTCCTTTTAGGAATGAGGAGCTCGAGGTCAGGAGAGGGGACAGCCCAGAGCCACAGCACAGCACTCGGTGGCCTTATGCCTGCCCACACACATCACAGCTGATGAGCACGGGGCTTCGCCTGTGCTCTCAGGAGCAAAACAACATTAGAAAATTCATGAATTGGGGTTTTCTTCATCATTCCAAGGTCAAGGAAAGTTTGTGCATTCCCTCCACACCTAGGGAGCATCTCAGTGTCACGGACCCCACTGTCAGATCTATGATGATACAAAGAACTGAGACCTCTGACCTCTGTGCTTGGGAAAGATCGTCACGTGGATAAGCACTTGACTCCGTAGCAGAGCAAAGCAAGTCTCTTAAGAGAGGAGTGTCATTTGAGGAAGACTGAGGTGGGAACAGCTAACTCTGATGGTTCACAGGAAAGAGGTGAGGCGGTGAGGGGTCCAGCATATGCCTTATATGGAGTGAAGCCAAATGGAGCTAATATTTAGGGAGTGAGTCGTAAGAACTGTAAGTGTATCGTTGCATCTAATTCTCACAAGAACTCAGTGGGCTGTGCACACTTATTGCCATTTTACTAACAAAGATGCACAGAGGTTAGCTGTGTCTAAAGCCACGTAGCTAGTGGGCAGTAGAGCCAGGATCCTACCCCAGGCGTTGGTCCCAGGGTCCTCGCTCTGAATCACTCTCCCTGGAGTTCTCAAAACTGAGTCGGCATCAGATTCCCCGGTGGCGGAGCCTCTTAAGACACAGATTGCTAAGTCGCACCCCCAGAGTTTCAGATTCAGCAGGAATCGGTGGGGGGCACAGATCACACTTGAAGGATATCTGCACGGCAGCCCTCTGACTACAGCTGGAAGTGGTCACTAAATCAACCTTAAAAATTGCAATTTTCAGACATGAGCTCTAACACTTGATAGATGCCAGAGCCCTTCCCACACAGAACAGAATTCTTTTTCCTACTGTTGGAGAGGAAGACTCAATTATAGCCGACACAGGGAGCTAACAGGACTCACACTGCCCCATTAGAAAGGCTGAATTATCTAAAAGAGAAAATTCAGAGCTCAGAAGGTCGTCTGAAGGAGATTGGACATCACCCTGTGAGGACCTCTGAAATGGCAGCAAAGATGCGGAGGGGACAGTCTCTAATTTTTTTTTTTTTTTTTTTTGCGGTACGCGGGCCTCTCCCTGTTGTGGCCTCTCCCGTTGCGGAGCACAGGCTCCGGACGCGCAGGCTCAGCGGCCATGGCTCACGGGCCCAGCCGCTCCGCGGCATGTGGGATCTTCCCGGACCGGGGCATGAATCCAGGTCCCCCACATCGGCAGGCGGACTCCCAACCACTGCGCCACCAGGGAAGCCCCTCTAATTTTTTTGTTTTTTTCCTATTTTCCATCAAAGGAGAGTCATCGTGTGGCTGCTCCCCACCCACCAGCATGTTTTCTCCGGCTGTAGAAAACATCTGAGGCGTGCCCCAAATGAGATCCTTCATTTCAAAGGGAAAAGATGTGATTTCTAAGTCACTGGAGAAATAAAGAAGATTCTCACCAGGTGAAAGTGGTGTTGGGCTGTCTGGATCCACTTTAACGTGGATGAATACGTGTCTTATATTTTTATAAAAATCAAATGGATTTTTCTTCCTGGGCTTGAACGAAGGACAGAGTTCAAGATGAAAAGCTCACGGAAAAGAAGTGTTCTCACGAGCTCAGGGGCTGGGGCCACATGAGAAACATATGAGACCGAAGAGGACTGGCCTGCCTGACTTCCTGTGCCAGGACTCTAAACTTTGGGGATGCCTCCCTGTGCTCTCCATCTGCAAGTCCCGCTCTGCATGTCCTACACCACAGAGGTCATGGCTCTAAAGCCAGGAAGCTCAGGCTCCAACCAGGCTCCACTGCCTTCTTGCTGTAGCCATTTGGGGTAATTATTAAACCTCTCTGAGCCTGAACCTTTAATCTCTAACATAGAAAGTAATAATATTTATTTCCAAGGGTTGCTACATGAATTAAATGAGATATTGGCTGACATCTATTTACCACCAGCTCCAGGTACTGTTCCGAATGCTTGACATCTGTTTCCTTCTTCAAGCCTTACAAGAAACCTCCATGAGAGAGATGCTGTTGTAATCTCATTGATAAGTAAGGAAACGGCTAAGAGAGGTTCAGAAACTTTACTCAATGTCCCACAGCGCGTGGTGGTGGGGCTGGAAGGCAGACCCAGGCAGTCTGGCACCAGAACCCGCATGCCCGTGACTCAATGCTGCAGCTGCAACTGGGCTGCTCTGTGCCCTGCCCTTTGGAGTTCATTTGTCTATGATAGAATCACATTTTCTCACCTCTTTTTAATCTCATGTGAAATTTTTCCTTAGCGTTTTGTAGATTAACAATAATTGTTGTGATGACATCATAGTCATTTTGTATTACCAATTCTCTGTGTTACAATGTGCCAAGAAAAAGCTACCGTCCTTGAGCAAACATGGGATACTTCTAAAAGGGGACTGCAAACTGGCCAGAGTAACCTTAACGTGTTCCCCAAGGGAGGAATTTATGGATTACTTTCTCTTTACACAGCAAAATAAACTGGCAGTGAGTGACAAGAACAAAGTCACATCTGTTTGGGAATTGAAAACATTATTCTAATTAATTGTTCCCAATATGGAATCAAAATGACAAATTATTTAGAAAAATAACATTGAGAAAGTGGCATACTAAAATTTTGGGAATGTTGGCAAATCTATGTTCAAGGAAAAAAATGTATGAATAATAATGAAAAGGCAGAAATTAAAACTGGAAAGCAATAAAATGGATAACAGAGTTTAGTCTTTCAAATAGCAAAATTAGAGGCAACCCTTTGGACATGTTATTTAAAAAGGGAGAGAGCAGGGGGTTCCCTGGTGACCTAGTGGTTAGGATTCAGCGCTTTCACTTCCGTGGCCTGGGTTCAATCCCTGGTCGGGGAAATGAGATCCCACAAGCCCTGCAGTGTGGTCAAAAAAACAAAAAAACAGAAAAAAAAAAAAAGAGAGAGAGAGAGAGAGAAAGCAAAATCATATTAAGTCAAGAGAGAAGATATAAAGAACAGACATGAGGATGTTAAAACTTATATAGTTGTATGTATATTTGTGTGCATATCTGAATGTTTCAATGAAATGCGTGATTTTATTGAAAAGGCAGCAATTTTTAAAACTGATTTTATGTGGGTGAGGTGTTCCTCCTTGCCAAGGCCACACAGCAAGTACATGCCTGTACTGGGATTTAAAGTCAGGCCTTCCTGTTTCCAAAACAGAAAGCCAACAACAGAAGCCTGTGCAATTACATATTAATGTGGGAAAGAAAGGCTCAAGAGTGAGGTAGAGCGAAGCCAAACATCTTGGAAAGATGCCCAAAATATATTAAATGAAGACGGCAAGTAACAGAACAATGTATATGGCACGATTCCATTAAAAAACAAAACAAAACTATGTATATATAAGTTTAGATAAGCAAAGAAAAAAGCCTAAATGAAAATTATTGAGCTGTTAACAATAGCTATTGGCTGGGTGGATTCAAACATTCTGTAAGGTTTGAATTTTTTGTATATTTTTTATTTTCTAAAAAAAAAAAAAATCAAACCCAATCAAAGAAACTCAACAACAACTCTTGTCCAATAATAAGCAAAAGTCTTGAATGCTTAAGAATTCTAGGACATAGGGACAAGCTTTTGGAGGAAGGGCTCACCTCTGACTACCCTTCGTCTGGCAAGGGACGTGGGGAGCAGAGATGGTGACATGAAGTGAGAACGGACGTGGTTGGCTGGGGAGCAAAGGTAAGCACACTTACCTTTCCCAGCAGCTCAGGAAGGCCCAGCAGCTGCCCCGTGAACACGCCAATGCAGATGAAGATGGCGGTCACCTGCCCCAGAGAGCCGCGGATCTCCTTGGGCGAGATCTCGCTCAGGTACATGGGGAGCACACTGAGGGCGATGCCTGTGAAGGAAGCATGGCAGCAGTGAGAGAGCTGTCTTCTTCAAGGAAGACTCTGGTCACAGCACCTCCCTCTGTTCTGTGCTTGACAAAAATAGTGCTGTAGCCACAACACCATTCCCAGCACTCTGCACAAACTGTCAACATTTTAACATGCACTTTATTATTTACTCCATAGAGTATGGCTGGGAGGTGGATTTCATAGGAGGGGAAATGGTGGTAGCTGATGGCAGTGATGCTGGTGGTGATGGTGACGGTAGTGATAATAATAACCAACGCACATAGTGCCTACCGAGTAGCAGGGATCTTCCTTCTCTCTTTTCATATATTAACTTATCTATTTTAAATAACAACCCTCTGAAGTAAATGTACTATCATTATCCCCATTCTAAATATGAGAAAACTGAGGCACAGAGAGGTTGAGTAACTTTCCCAAATCACCAAGGGACATCCAAAAATGCTCCAAGAGATTATTTGCCCAGTAGATCAGGTCTCTGATTCTAGAACTTGAACTTTCCCGCCAGCTAACGGCACCTCCTTAGGTAAATCATGGAACTCAGTTATGACAGATACTGTTAAACCCATTGTACAGCACTTTATAGACGACGTCACTCACATAGGGTCTCATAACCTTTGAGATAAATTTATGTGTTCAAAGGCTTATGACTGATATTTCTATTTAAAAAGTAATAGTTATAAATATGTCTCATAAAACATAATACTCTGCACTCATAGAGGTTCTGTTAGTAAAAATATCATGAGGCCTTGTCAGGTTCAAGAAACTTTGTTTTCTACTCATTTCGGGGCAGGTTTATTCTTAAGACCCTTTACAGACCCATGAAGGTCTACAAATGCACTTATCCCAGGCAGATTCATGGCTTGCTTATTACACTCTGAGTCACACTGCTTCCTGGGTCAAATCCCTGCAACTTACAAAAGTTGAGGACTTGGGCTGAGAGACTTAGCCTCTCTCAGCCTCAGTTTCTCTATCTACAAGTTGGGGATGAGAACTGAGACTGACTTCATAGGATTGCTGTGAGAGTTAGTTGAGATTTGCTCAGCGTTTCACTCAGCGTTCAAGTCAGCATTACTAGCACGAACTACTATTGTCTTCTAATTTTTCACCAGATTGTTTGGGCAATCAAAAATTTCTTTCCTGCCCTGGCTTCCTGATGCCTAGAGGTTAGAGTACAGTTCCCGACACACTTTAGGCACCAATCGATGTGTTTCATCTTAAGCTGGATTCACCCCAGTTTCTAGCATTCAGGGAAGCCCTTCCTAAAAAGAAATAGTGAAGGGAATGTGCTGCCCAATTTATAAGCTGAGCATCTCATTCATTGCATCTCAGCCCAGGATAAGTTTTTCTGGTTCAGCACACAAGGGAAACACGCTTAAGGTGCAAAGAGACAGGAATTATCTCCAAAGCTGCAACACAAACCAGATGCTATCTGAATTTCTATCCCAAACACACATATTGAGAGCATCTGGCCTCATGGAAAAATCAAGTGGCCACGGATCAATGCGGCACCTTGTTGCTTAGGGGGCAGTGGAATAGAGAGGAAGGCGCAGGATTCAAGTCCCACAGCCCTGCTTTCCTCACTAGGTGACCTTGATCAAGTTAGTTAGCTTCTCCTAGCCTCCGCCTACCCATCTATGAAAGAAGGGTCATAATTGCTGTCTATTCCTGTTGCGGTGGGAATAAAATTACTACATATAAAGCACCTGGCTCACTTTTGGTCACTTGATGGACACTTGGAAAACTGTTAGGTCCTCACCCTGACACTCCCCCTACCCTCTGGGGATAATTATCATCATCATCTCACGAAAAGCTATTAAGGAAATGATACGGCTGGTAGGAAAGAGGAGGCATGGTCGTGGTAATGGACGTGGCACACAGTTGGCACAGGAAGAACGCCTCCTTCACAGGGTGCCTGCGCAGACTGAATCCCTGGAGAACGCTTAGCAGAGTGAAAGGCACACAGGACACTTAATTAATGTCAATTAATGGAGACTCTCCTTCCTTGCCCATTGTGAAATTTCGGGCAAAAATGAGATACTGCTGGCTAAACCAGTGGTGAGCCATGAGGAGGTAGCCGGCTGCAGGAGGACGAACTCATCCCAGTTTGCCAGGGACCACCCTGGCTTTAGCACTGAAAATTCTGTGTCCCGGGAAGCCCCTGAGTTCCGGGCAAATGAGGTTGGTTGATTACCCTGGGCTCGTGTTGCTGGACCAAGCATCCCACACACCTGAGTGGCCCCTCTTGACCTGTGACCCTGTATCCTGCCATTCTTCCCCCCCAGGTGCCCCAGCCTTACGATTTACCAGACACTCCAGGCTCATTCTGATCGTGGGATATCAGCCTTTGTCATTCTGTTTATCCCGAGTCCTCTGTCCTCACAGCTCCACAGGCTGACGCCCCACTGTCCTTCCCGTCTCAGCTCAGCCTCACTACCTCCTGCTAACGGGAACTAATGCGACCCAACGGGTCCTTTGCAGATGGAATCAGGTTAAGGTGAGGTCACACTGGATTAGGGTGGGCTCTAAACCCAATGACTGGTGTCCTTATAAGATGATAAGACACAGGGAGACACAGAGGGAAGAGGGGCGCGTGAAGATGGAGACAGAGACTGGAGTGATGCTGCCACAAGCCAGGGAATGCCAAGGCTTCCCAGCAGCATCAGAAGCCAGGAGAGGCATGAAACAGATTCTCCTTCAGAGCCTCCAGAAGGGACCAACCCTACAGATACCTTGATTTTGGACTTCTGGCCTCCAGAACTCTGAGAGCATAATTTCTGTTGTTTTCAGCCCCCCAGGTGTGGTTTTTGGTGACAGCAGCCATAGGAAACTGCCCTACCTCCTCATGGAGGCCTTCACCCAACAAAATCAATCCCTCCCCGTCACTCCTTATCTCTCCATCCTTTCTTATGTTCCTCATGGCACTCAGTGCTTTTTGAAAGTATCTCGTTCGGTATTTACAGGGGACCCTTGAACAGCATGGCTTTGAACCATGCAGGTCCACTTATACTCACATTTTTTTTCACTAAATACGTACGACAGTGCCACACAATCCGATGTTGAATTCGCAGATGCAGAACCACATGTATGGAGGGTCGACTGGAAAGTTGCGTGTGAATTTTCGACTGCACTGAGGGTCGGCACCGCTAACCACCGCGTTGTTCAAGGGTCACCTGTACTTGTATATTGTCTGTTTCCCCACTTCCAGCCACAGAAAATTTCCTTCGGAGAACAGCACCAGACCCTGCACACGTGCTTGATCAAAGTCTATTGGGTCCCCAAGGCACTTTCACTCTACCGTTTTTTACTTAACCAAGGCTGCGGTAAAGGTGAGGTTGCTGGGGTCGCCAGTGGTTGGGAGTTGCAGACCGGCAGGCTGGTGCGGTTATAATTGTGGTCTATGGGAACAGGTCTCAAAGGCCAGTCCTACAGGGGCTGCAGACTCCAAGTGCACAGAGGGCAGAGTGCCTCTCATCTAAAACATCAACAACAGTTCCAATCTACCGAGCAGTTCACAACTTCCAGAACCACTTTACAGTCTTCCGCTTCCTCAGGGTACGTGGCCTGATGCAATGAAAGGAGCAACTGGGGATAGGCTCCCTCACACAGAGCTAGCCTAACTTCCAGATTCCTCCTAGAGTCCAGTTCCAGAAGTAGCATTTTAGCCCATACAAAGCAGAAGGGATTGAGGGAAAATATTGTCTAAGGGCACTCAAAGATGTTGCAGGAAATACTCCAGGGACAACTGGATAATTGCATTTTTCTATGGGGTTGCAGAAAAATTTGAGTCCAGTCCAAAACTAAGCGTTTCACTGAATATAAACTTAAATTTGAAGATTAAAGTATGACACACATTTTTAAATTGCACAAATAATATGTGTGCAGTTTGATGAATCATCACAAAATGTATACACCTGTGTAACCTCCACCCGGGTCAAGAATCAACTTACGGGCTTCCCTGGTAGCCCAGTGGTTGAGAGTCCTCCTGCTGATGCAGGGGACACGGGTTCGTGCCCCGGTCCGGGAAGATTCCACATGCTGCAGAGCGGCTGGGCCCATGAGCCATGGCCGCTGAGCCTGCACGTCCGGAGGCTGTGCTCCGCAACGGGAGAGGCCACAACAGTGAGAGGCCCGCGTACCGCAAAAAAAAAAAAAAAAGAATCAACTTACAAGACCAACACCCCAGAAAGCCCCCATGCTGTGCTCCCTCAGAATCACTATCCTTCCCCTTCTTCCCAAAGATCACCACCAGCCTAACTGCAATCACCAAAGATTAGCATATGGAATCAGAGAATATGTACTTCTTTTATTTCTTGCCTCTTTTGCTGATATTATGTTTGTGAAATGCATCAGTGTTGTAGCATGTAGCTCTAATCTGTCTGTTTTCATTGCTGTGTAGTATTCCAACGTGTAAGTATTCCACAATTTATCCACCCTACTATTGATGGACAGTTTGGGGTTAACACTAATAGTGACCCTATTTACAACAGCCAAGACATGGAAGCAACCTAAATGTCCATCGACAGATGAATGGATAAAGAAGATGTGGTACATATATACAGTGGAATATTACTCAGCCATAAAAAAGAACAAAATAATGCCATTTGCAGCAACATGGATGCAACTAGAGACTGTCATACTAAGTGAAGTCAGAAAGAGAAAGACAAATACCAAATGATATCACTTACATATGGAATCTAAGATATGACACAAATGAACTTGTTTATCAAATAGAAATTGACTCACAGACAATCTCTTTAGAACAGACTTGTGGTTGCCAAAGCAGGGTTGGGGAGGGATGGATTGGTAGTTTGGGATTAGCAGATACAAACTATTAGATATATGCATAACTGAGTTGCTTTGCTGTACACTGGAAACTAATATAACACTGGAAATCAACTACGCTTCAATAAAATAAAGTTTAAAAATACTAATAGTGCCTCATAAATATTCTTGTACAAGTCTTTTGGTGCACATGTATGGATAA